GGGAGGGAGGTGCGAAAGAAGGGGGGAGGGAGGTTCGGAAGAAGCTGGAGGAGGGTCACCAACAAGGGGGAGGGAGGTTCGAAAGAAGCGGGAGGGAGGTTCGCAAGAAGTGGGAGGGAGGGTGGGAAGTAGCAGGAGGGATGTGCGAAATAATGGGGAGGGGATATATATATATAAATTATTTTCCAACCCGGACCAGTCCAGACATGATGATCCAGACAATCCAGACCGATCCGAACATCGACCGCAAAGCTCGGGAATGCGAACGCCCGGATCGCAACCGGACCGACCGGTGGTCCGGGTCCGGATTGGTCTGACGTCCGGGTCCGCGGTAGCCATGGTCTAGATCTATCAGGAAGCAGTCAAGCGGTAACAACAAATAGTTTCAGACCCCTGCAAACAATTCTACTCCTACGTTTGACTAGTCCAAAATAGAGGCTTGCAACAAAAATAGTCAACCACTCTATCTGCAACAGTATGTTAGCTGTTAGCAGTCCATCACAACTAACTAATCAAAAATAAATATAAAATCGTTTGTTGAAAAGCATACTGAATGGAAATATTAGAATATTGAACAATCGAGCAATTATTGGAATCTTCCCTCCCCCAATATCCCTCTTGAGTAGTCACTTTGTGTCGACGTCCTGAAGCTCTGGTTCAAACGGCGTGTCTAAAGGTGTGCAATCCGGCCCACCCCTGTACCCCAAGTCTATGCTAAGCCTGCCAGCCCCGCATCTTCTTTATCCTCGCATGCAACGAGCCTTGATTCCGATTAACCTGGCTGATCAAGAGGCAGTTTAAGGACAGCCCCCATGGTCCTCACGCATTATTTAATGTCGCAATCAGGACGACAATCACAACCAGGGTCCAACAGGAACCTGCCAAAAATATTTATAGATGGTCTGGTTTGCGTCTCTTTCAGGGCTGGCATGCCCAACATGACCTCTATTGCGCAGCAAGCAGGACCAAGGAATTGCGGCAAAGCATGCGTGTACTAGTCAGCGGGTTGGCATGGTGGCCGTGACCCGAGTGCTTCGTCCAGGGCCCTTCAGAGGCAACGCCCGTCTCCCTGCAGCTTGCTCCGCACGAAGAATGTCAACTCTCAAGGTTGAGCGCTTGCAACACCTCACCATGAGAGGACTCTCAAAACAAGACTCACTTCCTCACGGTAAGAAGCAACAAAGAGGGTAGATAAGGTAAGGAGCAATGTACCTCATAATGCTGCCCCCGACCACATATTTCTCACCTACAACCGATCGTGCACTTATGATGACCATTCGATGCCTCGACACAACCCACAATGCAATGCAGTTCCACCTCGGCTTAAATTGCCACGTCAGCAAGCTCTCATCATCCAGCGTCCACCCCATGTCACCACATAGCCTTCCATACGCACCCTCACGACCTAAGGCCGCCTATACTCCAAAACACAAGCATTATCACTACCCCGTCATTTTCCAACGAAGCACCAAACAACTATTGGGAAGGAACTAGCGAAGTGGTTCGAACCGACTCCGATACCAAATTGCAAGGAAAATGAGAGAGCGGGATGACAGAATCCACATAGCACAATCACATTGAAAGCAAGAAAGTCCCACAGTGTCCAGAAAGTAGCATTGCACCAATATTACACCCATGGAGAATCGAAACATTGAAACCGAATGTCAATGAGAGCTTACTCTCCTCCCCACCAACATACGTATCCAGGCCCTCTCCCTCTTACTAACGCTCGGCGGCCAGGCTACTCCCTACACACCTATTTTCCTACGAATTGGCAATGCAATTGTTAACGTCAGTAGCCATCGAAGTACTTGAAGATGTCGGCCAATGCAAACCATCGCCAATACCAGGTATGCGCCCTCACATCATCATCCTCGTCTCTCCCACTCTCTCCCTCTCCTTGTTTTCCTCCCACATCTTCTCCCTCATGCACGAAGACCACCACCACCTCCACTGGTTGTCCAAGCCTAGCCCTCGCTATGTGCGGCTGGCTAAATTGCCCTCAGCAGCGCCCTGCCTTCTTCCAGCGCCGCGCACACTGCCTGGCAACTAGCGCTAACGCACAATGCACAGCCTGCAAGCGCACACTCAAGCAGCACTGCCGCATGCACTGCCTAGTGCCCGAATGAGCCCACCAGTGGCGAGCTCTTTCCTTTACGGAAAGTGCTCCTCCGGTTTGCTGTCTCGCTGGACCTCGTGTGTTTCTTGTAGCTTCTAGTCCGGCCAAACTATCTACGCCCAAGCCCATTCATACAATGTCCAACCACCCAGGAGTAAACGTGAGGTTCTCCCTGCTTCGCCTGTGTTGCTGGAAGAGCCTAGAAGGCTCATGAATTATTTCTGATTCTCACAAGTGAGGATGCGCCCACCAAAATTTGCCTTTTTTGACAAACTCAGGCCATGTTGAAATTCAGGGGTCTGCCTTTACTTAGGGCGGACTCTTGCTTGTTGAAAGGGACCTGCAAGGGCATGCTGAGAAGCAAACTCGCAGCAAGGCCTCGTCGAAGAGCCATCCCACATAGGGGTTCCAACAGGCTTTGCTTGGGCCCCTCAGCCTGGTCTCGTAGGCCTATAAACAGGCATTGGCACATATTTGCAAGCATGCCTTCACTTCGGGTGGGCACGACACTCTCAGACATTGCCGAGGGACTAAATCCTCACATAATGAAGCCCCTACCCCCTTAGGGGCCGCATTTTACCTCTGTTACTCTCAATTTTGGGCCCCCCTTACTCCAATTTTTCCTTGGCAACTTATTTTTCGTGTAGAGCCCCTTGGCAATTTCACGAGCAATTCCTCTGGATGTCTTTGCCAAGCCTTTCTCAAGCCCACACTCAAACAATTTTACATGCAATTCCTCTCGACGTCTTTGCCAGGCCTTTCTCAAGCCCAAGCTCGAACAATTTTACATGCAATTCCTCTGAACATCTTGCCAGGTTTTTCTCAGGCCCAGCCTTTGGACATCCTTGCCAGGCCTTTCTCAAGCCCAAGCTCAAACAATTTCATATGCAATTCCTTTCGACATCCTTGCCATACTATTTTCAAGTTTAAAGCCACTTTCGCCTTTCTGCCTGTTATTTCTTTCGCACGCTTTCTCATCAGGTAGATGGCACGCCTTCCCCCTACTCAAACGCAATGTCTTCATCGCGCACCTAGTTCTCAGTCGGAGATACGCGCACCTTGCCTACCATGTGATGGATGCCAGCCCATCAACCCCTAAAAGGAAGGGTGATCAGTCTTTCCCCTGCCGATAACTCACCCCATTCTCCCACTTAGTCCAGATGCCGCTTATCTGGAGACGGGCATCATCAGTGAGGTACTCGCATCTGACAGGTAGGTCCAGTCCATGCCTCCCAGGACCCCGTCTTACCATAAGTGACTCCCTCATGAATTGTTCCTCCCGAGTGGTGTTTTTACTGGATCCGGTCTCTTCCTTTCAAGAGAGTTGGGGCTCTCTATTAGTTTGTGAGTGCACTTACAAAGACCTCGCGGTTAGTCCCAGAACGGTTTCAATGCTCCGTCAGGGCGGTGTCAATGCCCTGTGGTGGTGGCAGACTCCACCCGGTACCCCGCCCGACCTCCCCCGTGGACAGTGTCACTTGACTTAGCGAGAGCAACCTTGGTCCATGCCAAACGGTCGGGCCGCCCCTCAACAGCGCGACGTGTTGTTGAAGAGGGTAAAAAAGACTTAGCAAAGCAACTCTTGGTCCCTTCTCGGGCACCCTGGACGTTTTAAGAACAACATGAGGCGCAATTCGAATCTTCCAACTACAGCTTATTGTCGAAGTTGGTTCCGGATGTCGAGCATCGTTAACGATACCTTGATCCTTTAACCTTTCACTTCTTAGGAGGGACAGGTCGTGCTCGAACTTTTCCCTGTGGGGCAGAGGTCCTTTGGGGCACGGCATCGGGGCCGATATTCCACCTCCCGTTAAGGCCTGAGACTAAAAAGAGAAAAGAAAGTTGAGCAAGTCAATACGTGGTCGTCATGACTCAAGGATGCCTAGGGTCCCCTAATATGCAATGCACTTTCCAATTCTCAAGCAAACGCTCAACCCAAATGCTCTTTCCAAATTTCTCAAGGCTAATTCTCATGACCGATCCGACGACCACTTTTCAATTGGGGCCATTTCTTATGGCCGTCCCGTCGGGCCCTTTTCAATTTTCAATTTCAATTCTCCAATCTCTTTTCAAGGCTGTTTTTCATGACCGACCCAACGACCTTTCCCAATCCATATTCCATCTCTTCCAATCTTGTCCTTAAGAGTTGATTCTTATTACCGTCCCGACGACCTTTCCAACCCACATATTTTTCACTTCTTCCCCCAAGGCTGTACCTTTTTTACCGTGCCAACAACCGTTTCGATTCTCCATCCATCTCTTTCAATCTTCCTTTCAAGGCTGATTCCTATGACCGTCCCGACGACCTTTCCAATCTACATCTTTTTCTCTTCCTCCCCCAAGGCTGTTTCTTATGACCATCCCAACGGCCATTTCAATTTTGCATCCATCTCTTTCAATCTCCTTTTCAAGGCTGATTCTCGTGACTGGTCCGACGACCATTTCCTTTCTCATAGCTCAATCCAGCCCAATCTTATTCAGTCTTTCTCAGACAGTCATGAAAGGTTCCTCCCCCATGTGGTAAGACAACCTTTTCAGGGGTCATTCTTTTCCATTCCAGTCGGACAACCTTTTCAAGGGTCATTCTTTTCCATTCCAATCGAACAACCTTTTCAGGGGTCATTCTTTTCCATTTCCTTGCTAGTGCCCGAGGGGGTGGGGGGGGGGGACATGGATGGCATCTTTTACTGGGGGGGGGGGGGGGGGGGGGGGGGGGGGGGGGGGGGGGGGGGGGGGGGGGGGGGAGGTTTAGGAGCGACCATCTTATACAATTTTAGTGTGCAATTTTTTTTTCCCCCCCCCTCATTACAGCTTGCTGCCACAATGAAGTCGTGACCACACCCGACTTAGCGTCTAGTGCACTGCACCCGACTTAGCTTCTAGTGCACTGCACCCGACTTAGCGTCTAGTGCTCAAGGAGAGGCGCTCGTCCTCAGGCAGCGCTAGCCCACCCGACAGTTCGACCATAGACAAGGATACAAAACCGATCTCTTGTCTTCATTCTTTCTCACTCTCAGCCTTCTGCGACTTGAGTCTTGCCTCGACTTGGTTGGATTAGGCTCCTCGGGGAGCAACACCTTCATGCCCCTCTACCCATGGGTTCTCTAACCTCTCTTGAACTTGACTGAAAGCCAATGCCTTATTTGTACAAACGCCATTTCCATAGTACTTTTCCAAGATACAATCTTTGTCTTTCCCAGGATCCGAAAGAACAATCATCCCAACTGGTTCCATACCAAAGTCCCTTGCCAGCCTTTCCCTCAAAAATCTTTCAAGGCAACTCATACAGAAAGTAGTCCATAATTATTCACTACTTATCTCGCTAAATCTTGACCAGTCTTTGTCTTGCTCATATTCAACTATCTTATTCACATTTGCCAAAGTCAATGTTACAGTTGCTAGAAACATTTGTCAAACATCTACCACTTCTAGTCCTTTTTGCTTACACTAGCCTTTTGTCGTTTGACTTCTTGTCCCGCGTCCTTCCACATCTGCTCCTCAACTCCCAAGCCAAAGGTCCCGATTTCCTCCCTTTTCCTTATGAGCTTTCGCAGTTCTTCCTCATTGAAGAAGTCCAGAAGTATGACTGCCTTCTCGGTCCTCATCTTTTTCTTGGCCTTGATGATCCAATCACGTCTTATCACACTAATCGATTGGTTGAACCAATGGCTACACGTTGGTCCAAACTCATCTTCCCACTTGGAGGGTTCTGCTTTCGAGTCACCCTGCGCTGGTCGCCCCTCTTCCATTGGTCTTGTAATCACGTCCGTCTCGTTCCCACTACCAATCTCAATGACCTCGCGGGGTTCCTCCTCAATCTCGTCCTTTTCTTCCCATAAGGGGTTGTACTCACCCGTAAAATTCTCAGGGTTTACGTTGTACGGAATACTAAAAACTCCCCTTATATTTCTCCTCATAGTCCCCATAGCATTCTTCGTACCCATTGGCTAAGTTATAGTCCCTTCCCTCGCCTCTTGCCCCTTCATATTCTGAGTTTGTCCCCTCCTCTTCACTTCCATCCTCAAGTCGGTAATCTAGTTTCTCGCCCTCCATGAGGGCCGAGGGCCCGTTACACTAGATTTTTTTCCTCTTCTTTCCAAGCGTACTTCTTGGCTTTGAGCGTATGAACATTATTGGTTTTTGTCTGTCCTGTGGTCCCTCCGATCTATGCCATTCATCTCCGATTGGTACATTTATGCGGTCGGCATCGTTCTCATTATTGAACTTCATTTTAGACTCTGAATTTTTTCCTGTTCCTGCAATCAGAAGGAAAAACAAGATCCACAACGCATTCCTTTATGGCGCCATGATCCCCCATTCCAAAAAATACACCATTTCCCCCAGTCCCCTTCATGCAATACCATATGATACACCGTTCTGCGTCAATTTACCCGCAGTAACATCCAAATCTCATCCATCCCTCAAAAACTATGATACATTGCCCCAGACACCCCCATTACCCGAAGGCATAGCCACCCCCAAAAAAGCAACACGCATCATAGATAAGATCCCTACCACCACTTCGATTGCCGGCTCCCCGGTTTCCTTGTCCTGAGCTTTTTTTTATTTTATTTCCACTGGGTCCCCTTCGTGCAATACCATATGATACACCGTTCTGCATCAATTCAGCCGCATTAACGTCCAAATCTCATCCATCCCTCAAAAACTATGATCCATTGCCCCAGACACCCCCATTACCCGGAGGCATTGCCACCCCAAAAAAAAGCAACACACATCACAGATAAGATCCCTGTCGCCACTTAGCTCGCAGGCTCCCTAGTTTCCTTGTCCTGAGCTTCTTGTAACCATTTCCACTGGGTCCCGACTTAGAAACCAGACTAGTCCTTGTCTCGAAAAATGACCCTTTCAATCCAGTCCCATCCAGATTTTCCAATTCAAAGGTGTTCATCCCTGGAGGCTTAGCCACCCGGTGAGGGCCCTTGAATCTCCTTCCCAATTGGCCTGACCAAGTGCTTTCTAGTGCCGAATTTCTGACTAGGACCATCTCCCCCGCTTGGAGTGGTTCAGTCTCAACATTCTTGAGCTAATCCGATCCTGCCTTATCCGCCATCCTGCTATCAAGGACTTGGTTCACCACGTCCTCCATTGCCTCCTCCGGGAAATCAATTTCCCTCCCATACCATAGCTCGACTGGAATACATCCTGTAGTCCTCTTTGGAGTCACGTTTTCTGAAAAAACGGCCTGCTTAAGTTACTTGGGCAAGTTCCCAACATTGTCTACAACTAATTTCGCAATCGTGTTCTTCTGAGTCCGATGTCCTCTCTCTATCAGGGCTTCCACCGAGAAATCAATTTCCCTCCAATACCATAGCTCGGTTGGAATACATCTTGTAGTCCTCTTTAGAGTCACGTTTTCTGAAAAATGGCATGCTTATGTACTTGGGTCAGTTCCCAACATCGTCTACCGCTAAGTTCACGATCGTGTTCTTCTGAGTCTGATGTCCTCTCTCTACGGGCGCATTAGCCTCTATGTGGTATGGCTCAATAAGCTTATTGAGTACCCTGAAGGGCCTAAATCTTTTGCAAGTGCTCAATACTTCCTGATTTACAAACTCCGTCCCATTATCAACTATAAACCTTCTGATGAATGGGTGCCTCAAATAAAAGTCAACTCGCCACTGCTTTTCTTATTTTCTTCTTGAGGGCCTTTTGCTTGCACCTCTTTGATCACTTTTTTATACTCTCTATTACTGCCTCCACAAACCCACTACGGTTGTCTTTAGCGTCAAGAGTGTACCTGTATCCTTCCATACATGCATTACTGCGAGATTGAGGTGGACCAAATGCCCTGGTCCTAACACCCGATTGGGTCTCAAAGGTTCAAAAACACGAGCCGAACTCCGCTCTTGGCAGATCAGGCAGGTCTAGAAATATGTGGCCACAATTCCTCTGGTTCCACAATGTCTCCCCATGAATCCTTTTCTACCGCCATTGTCATCAGTTCCTCCTCTCGCCCACAATGCCTCCCCATGAATCCTTTTTTTACCTTACAGCCCTTCCTTGTAACTGGTCCTTCCCTGAGTTTCGCAACTACGGCGGGAGCCGAACTCCGCTCTTGGCAGATCAGGCAGGTCTAGAAATATGTGGCCACAATTCCTCTGGTTCCACAACGTCTCCCCATGAATCCTTTTCTACCGCCATTGTCATCAGTTCCTCCTCTCGTCCCACAATGCCTCCCCATGAATCCTTTTTTTACCTTACAGCCCTTCCAGGTAACTGGTCCTTCCCTGAGTTTCGCAACTACGGCGGGAGACCCCTCTTCCAAAACCTTAATCAATCCCTAGATGTGTATGCCTGGTTTGTTACCTCGTTATTCGCCACAAGAGTCCCTCCCTCGTAATTGAGAATTGCGTCGATAGGTTTCGCGTCCTCTACTACCTCCGGTGTGATGCAGACCTTGCTCAGGCCATCGACCCTATCCCTAAGCTCGACAATGCGCTTGATCTTGTAATTGAACTGCCAAATGAACCCTACATAGCTTCCCACCATAGAATCTATGGGCTTGCAATTCTTTAGCGCTCCTGCAATATTCGTCGGATCGATCCTAAGAATGAAGTGACTCCCAAACAGGTAGGCTTGAAAGGTTTTAGGACAGTGGAGGACAACCAATACCTCCTCCTTGAATTGAGAGTACTGACGCTCCGCAGAGTTTAATGTCCTACTCTCAAGTCTGACCTCTCTGTATCAACACTCCTCCCACAACTAAAGGTCCCCCATCGGCCTACAGTATAAACGGCCACCCTAACTCATCATTGAAACATAGTGCGAGAAGTGTAACTTTTTCCGACATCAATATGCCTTTCGAGGGCCTGGACAGCGGCTTCTCGTTCCTCAGTCCAGTCCATTGTACCTTCTTCGTGAATCATACCCCGAATAGATTCTGCTATCTTGGCAAAGCCCTTGATAAAGATCCTTCAGAATCCGACGACCCCTAGGAAGGCTCTTACCTCCGTCGTTGTGCACAGAGGCAATGGCCACTGAGAAATCTTGTAGGTTTTGGCTGGGTTGAGTTTCCTTCCATACGCCCCACAACGAAAACCTAGGATGGTCACTTTTGAACAATACTTTGGGACCGCTGGCAGTGATGTTGTACACTAGGAACCTCCGAAGGAGATCCTTGATGTCCTATAAATCGTCCCACACAAACTTTCGTACTTCGGGCTGGATTTCTATCTCATTCTTCTCTTGGGCGCCTTTGATCAGATTATCATCAATGTAATGTTCGCACTTTGCTTGGAACAGGCGACTACGAGCATCCTCCCCTGTGCTTCTACCACAATATTGGTGACACCCATAAGGGTTACCTGCATTTGCAGATGGCCTACCGAGGTATGCATGGCCGTGTAGGGTATATCTCGAGCGTCTAGCGGGAGCTGATCGAATCCGAAATAGGGATCTACCAGCGAGTAAATGCTCTGACCAGCGTAAGACTCTGCCAATAAGTATGCCCGAGGCAGCTACCCTGCAACCCGAATAGTCACAGCATGCTTCTGCACATCCTCGATCCACCAAAGGGTCTTGTTAGATTTCCGGATTACTAACCACCTGTTTGCGTACGGACATGCGGTACCCTCCGCGACCAAGGAGTCCATTTCTGCTCTAAACAGGTTTGTCACTTCGCCTGCTATTCCAAAATCGTAGGCTGACCCTTTACCTACCTACTACATAAATATAAAGATGTATTGCTTTATTTATAATTCTACATTCTAAGTAATTTATCAAATACTCTACATTCTACACATATGTCATTCAAACACTTGTGCTCGACCTTATGAATTTTGATTGGGGGTATCAACTTCGTATCAAGTCCTCTCTTTTAATTATCGTTGAAAGCGAAAGCCAGGTGAAATTCTTGACACGCTTCCTCGATCAAGTGAGTTTCTTGCTCCATCAAGAACCCCTCCACTTCTGTTTTCATGGTACCTGCTACTTCGTCCAATATTTGATGCCCTTCCGCTGCCCTTTTTTCCCTGATTACTCGGAGGACTTCCTCCTCTTTTTCCATAGCCTCTTCCCTCGTTGTCTCTAGAAGGACAGGGACATGCTTGGCCTTTTTCCCTACTGGCTTGTATTTGCGAACGCTTCCTTCCGAGATCTTTCTTCTAAAAGAATGAACGGTTGGGACCGTCCTTGGCGCGTCGGCAATCCGCGACTGGATGCTGACCAGCTTCCCATTTAGGTAGTAGCCCTTTCGAACTTCGCCCTAAAATTTAGCGAGCGCGACCGGGTCCACCCCTACCTTATAATACTCGATGGCGTTAACCAGTGGCAGTAAGTCGGGGATCTCAAGCATTATCCCTGGCCCCTCATCTCGCCTCTCCTTTGGTCTGGGTAGACTGGCCCCTAGTTCACCTCCGTCTCCTTTTCTCCCATCATAACGCCCAAAGCGTTGTCCTCCTGTCCCCGCTTTTTCTGTGGCAGTCCCATCTTGACCCACTCCTTGCTGAATGCTTCCTCGATCACGATTTCGCCTCTCTCTCACATCATTTCTATTCTCGCGAAGGCCCCTTTTCTGACACTCTCTTCAGAGGACGACGACCATGTTGCTAATCCCCTTTGGAGTATTGCCCCCTGTCTTAATGAGACGGAGCAGCTCACCACATCCTGTCACCGGGTCCTCTATGTCTACCATGTACGTCCCATCATGCTGGTGCGTTCCTATCATTTCCACATTCACACACCGAGGTCTTCCAAGAATTATGTCATGGTCCATTTCGTCCATGACGATCATCCATTGGAAAGACCAGATCGATTCCCCGATTCCCGCCTTGACGACGCACTTGGTGATGTATCCGGAGAACGGAATGTCCCCGCCTACTCCTTGGATACTGCCGGTCGTCTCCGTGTTGACCGCACATCTCGTGATCTTGGCATAGTCTTTTCTAACAAGCGTGATTTCCGCCCCTCCGTCCACCAATGCGTCTGTATGGTGGCTTCCGATTTGCACTTTCAGCTTTCCCACAGGTAGCACATAGAAGTTGAGTTTTGTTCCAGGTGGGGTCCTCTTAACTTCCCCACCTTCGCGATCTGGCAAGCTCAGACGAGTATCTGCGAAAGCCTTTTCCAGGTCTTCTAGATCCCCGGGAATCCTCTGAAGGTTGGCGATTTCTAGCGGTGCCTTCTCCTCCTTTTCTTCTTCCTGAGGTTCTGGACCTTCCTCTGCCCTTACTCTCCGTCGAGTCAACAATTGTCTAAGACCCTTCAGGAGCCTACGACTTGCCTATAGCATCGTCTAGAACGAGATTGAAACCATGGTTCCTAGCAACTTGCCAAGGGTGTCATCGATCTCATTCAGATTGGAATAGGAATCTGGTACCTGAACTTCTATTTGGTTGAGGTGGCCTTGTCCACCAGGCCCTCCTCTCTAGGTTCCCGTAGACCTTTTTCTGTTCTTGTGCCCTTGTTTCTTGCGTCTTCCATAATTATCTTGTATGACCCCTTCTGTTTTGTCGATCGCTGCCTCGTCGTCACATTCACCTTATCCCGCCCATTGCCTTTTAGAATAAAATTAGCCTGTGGCCTGCACCCTCGAGCTTGCTCCCAAACGATCTCCGCCACCGGCTTAGCCTCTACTGCGACGATGTTCAGATTGTTGAGGGCAATTACAGCCCGTCGCATTCCTTCGGGCGCGTTCCAGTTCAATTTTTCTCCTTGGGTCCTACGATCTCCCCTTTTAGCGTCCTAGAATATCTTTTCCATACAATATCATGATTGGGCCTTAGGCATGCTCGTACAAAGTGATCGACCATCGCGTAATACCTGCAATTTTCGTTGGTTGGGTCCCTCCTATTGAGCCCCCGATTAGCCACTCCCATGGAAACCACAACTACGTGCGAAGGGAGGGGAGGTCAAGCCACCTTGGCTTGTGTCGCCTGGGCTTGCATTACCATTAACGCGTTTTCCACTCTCTCGATCTTGTCGTCCACCCCATTAACGCGCTCATGCAAACTTTCGATCCCCCTTTTTGCCTCGTCTCCTTTTCTTGCCGGTTAGATCTATGACCTCTCCTCCTTTTAGCAGGGCCAGAGATTTGGTCACAACCATCTTTTCAGCAATGTCCGTCACAGTGTTGAAGTCGACATCCCTGGTGTTCATGAATTCCGTGGTCTGTTGGTAAGCCAACAAGATCTTATCTTTATCAAACTCGGTGAACTGCCTAAGAAAGTACTTACTCATTATACGGTTCATCACTCCAGGGATCCGCAACGCCACGAGCGTGAATTCCCGCATGAAATCGTTATGCGTTGCAAAGTTCTTCCTTTGCACCACTGCCAACTTGGCCTCCGTTGCCATTTTCTTGGTTGCCAAGTATTTCCTCATCATTATGTCTTGGACCTCCTTCCAGGATCTGCTCGCCGCGACAATAGTCATTACGTCCCTACTTGGACTTAGCGATACGTGCAGCCCTAGGTGGTCCACCTTTTCTTCCTTACTCCATCTTAGCATCGCCGCCAGGTTCTCGTGGTCTATCGGGAATTTTGTGAAGTTTGCCCCGTCAAAAGTCTGCTTCCGCTTCTTTTTGGCATCAGCCATGCACCCCTGATTTTCGTTTAGCACCGTGTAAGGGAAGATACCCTTTTTCTGAGTCCTCCCTCATATCCTCTTGCCTCGCCAGCTGTACCGGACCCCTGTCCTTCCTTACCCGCTTTCTAGCCCTTCTCCGACTTTCATCGTGCCTTCAGGGCCAAACCATCCTAGCACCCTCTCTCTTAAGCTCCACAATCCCTCGCACCCCCTCGTGATCATTGGTGTGGTTGCTGGTCGGCTTGCCCTGATGTCTATAGTTGGCGGGTTATTAGCCTTTTCCGCCTCCCTCTCTAAGGATCTCGTCCTTTCTTTCCCTTTCCTACTCGTCATCCCTCTATGTTCCCCGGTCCTATCTTTTCTTCATTGCCCGATGTCGTCTTGGTTTCCTCGGCCCGATCTGTTCCTCGTTCTTCGTGCTGCCTATCCCCGTCTTGCTTTCATTCATCATTTGTTCCAGTAACTTAGCTTTGTACTCAGCCGTCCTTCTTTCTATCTCTGGCAATTTCTTTTGAGCGTCTGTTACTCTCACCTTCTTTGATAGTGCCCCTTCTGATGTTCGTGGCATCGAGCCAAGTTTCTCCCTTTCTCCCCCCGTTTCGTGGGTTCCTCGCTTGTTCCTTCCGACTTTTCCTGAGCTTTCTCCTGTTGTAACTTCCTTCCTTCTTTAGAGCCCTCAAGGTTTGCTGACTTCCGGTTCCTCAGGGTCCCCTCGTTCTGATCTACGTTCTCCCCATCAATTCTAACCTCCCTTGCTTCCTTGATCTCCGGCCTCGTCCTCTGTTGCCATTTTTCCTATCCCTGCACATCTTTCTGGAATATGTATACAAGTTAGTTGCCTGAAAAGAGTATAAGCATGTCTACCCCACTTTGTGGCCTTATGGGTATAGCGAGATTTGAACCTGCGACCATTAGGTTAAAAGCCCAATGCTCTACCAACTAAGCTATACACCCAAAATCCAGATAGGCTTAGTAGGATTTGAACCTACAATATCACCGTTATGAGCGGTGTGTTTGGACCAATTAAACTATAAGCCCAGGAACTTGCTTCAGAAACTACAAAACTACAATGCAAACAAGATTAAAAGCGGTGGATAGCCTTGTTCCAATAGGTCGTGGTCAATGAGAACTTATTATTGGAGATAGACAAACAGGTAAGACTGCTATAGCTATTGATACTATATTGAATCAGAAGCAGATCAATGCAAAAGGTGCCTCTGAGAAAGAAAAGTTGTATTGTGTGTATGTAGCATTTGGTCTGAAGCGTTCATTGACCAATGAATTTGGAACTTCCAACTCTAAGGCGTTTCCAGCATATAGCGAAGTGATTGAACTCTCATGTTGCCATGAGAGGGACCCATCTTGAGCCCACACAATAAATCCAAGAACTCTCCTCAAGGGCGGTACCCGTAAGGCCAAGATTTCCCGGCCATTTTTTACGGGCATAATTTCATTAAAACACAAATAGAGTCAAGAGTTCCATCACTAGGGTCGAAGACAGAGTCGAGCTTAGACGGTCGTAACAAGTGCTCTCTGAACCGTGTGAGATGGTCGCCCATCACACGGCTCTCTAACTCAAGTTGCCTTATTATTATATAAATAAAATAAATAAATAAGCCAGAGTGGCCTTCGCGCCCTTATTTGACTCATTTTGACCCGCGCGAGTTATTTCTTATTTATAAGTTCACCAAGAATGAGTTGAGTCAATTCTCATATATGAATCATCCTTCGGCCTTAAATATCAAATAAAAGAGGCCTTTACTTCCCGTTGGCAAAATTTTTTTTTCCGGGGGCAGGCAACCAACAGCCCGTATGGGAGATAGGGGCGTTGGTACGAGTAGACGCCTCAATCTCCTCCGGGGAGGCTCCATCTATTGGTGGGGAGCAACACCTGCGAGAAATCGGTTCCAACATCCCTTACACAACAACCGTTTCAATCACACTGAGATGTTTCTGACTGTCTTCCAACCTGCCAGCATTGATTACCCTGAAGGCAGGGGATTGACTGAGCAGGGATTACCCTGAAGACAAGGATTGACTGAGCAGGCTCAAATAGGGAGGAAAAGGGTTCTGACTGTCTTCCAACTTGCCAGCATTGACTGCATTGAAGACAGGGGATTGCCTGAGCAGGCTCAACTAGGGAGCAAAAGGGGCCTCTCCAACCCTTTTGCTGGGCGTCCAAACTGTGAGACCATCTAGCCCCCGTGTCTTCGCTATAACTGTCTCTCCTTCACTGCTTCATACCACTGGAGATCCACCATTAATAGACCATGGGGCGGAAAGGGGTCAGGGAAGTCCAAGGGGAAGCGCAACAGTATTGCTGCATCCACCTTAGTCCAATCCTGAAAACAAATGATATGGTATTACCCTCAAGAGGATTGACTGAGCAGGCTCAAATAGGGAGGAAAAGGGTTCTGACTGTTTTCCAACCTGCCAACATTGATTGCCCAAAAGACAAGGGATTGACTGAGCAGTCTCATCTAGGGAGGAAAAGAGGCCTCTCCAACCCTTTTGCTGGGCGTCTGAACTGTGAGACCATCTAGCCCTCGTGTCTTCGCTATAACTGTTTCTCCCTCACTCATCTCCATACCACTAGAGATCCACCATTAACAGATCGTGGGGCGGAAAGGGGTCGGGGAAGTCCAAGGGGGAGCGCAGCGGTATTGCTGCATCCACTCTAGTCCAGTCCTGAAAACAGATGATATAGTACTAATCTGAAGATAGGGGATTGACTGAGCAGGCTCAAATAGGGAGGAAAAAAGTTTCGACTGTCTTCCAACCTACCAGCATTGAGTGCCCTAAAAACAAGGGATTGACTGCGCACGCTCAACTAGGGAGGAAAAGGGGCCTCTCCAGCCCTTCTGCTGGGCATCCAAACTGTGAGACCATCTAGCCCCCGTGTCTTCGCCATAATTGTCTCTCCCTCACTCTGCTCCATACCATTGGAGATCCACTATTAACAGACCATGGGGCAGAAAGGGGTTGGGGAAGTCCAAGGGGGAGTGCATCGGTATTGATGCATCCACCTTAGTCCAATCCTGAAAACAAATGATATACTCTCGTCTCATATTATCCTCTCCGCATTCTGCCTCCTTCCCAACGAACATAAGCCATTCTGCCCCCCTGATCACTTCCCAACCATGGTGTGGCTTAACCCTTTTGTTCCAAATATGTACGATTAATCAGCCAATCATTCGTGGCGAGGCAGCGGTGTTCTATATGCCATTGCAGGGAGGCCATCTTTGTCGGTTTGGCCTTTGTGGAGGTGAACCACCGGATGGGGCGGAGGCAGTCCCTTCCCACATTCAGATGGGACATCCAGCACTCCCACACGGTCCTCTTAAGGTCAACCCAAAGCCGAAGAAGCCGGTAGGTAGTTTCTCAGATAAATCAAACAATTTCTTTTTTTTTCCGGATCTTATTTTGCCCGACGAATTACATTGCCATTCCAACGGGTCAATGGGGAGTTCTGCGAGCGGGGTTTCTCAGTGGAAAGCTACCCACTGATCTTGTTCCCCCACTTTTTCTTCTCATCATGCGGGTACCTTGCGACGTGATCATTCAATTTCTGACAGAAGAGGATTACCAACACTTCTTCATCCCATACCTCCATCACCCTACCTAAATTCTCACCATCCCCCACTGATGCTACCCAGTCCCCTTTTTGAAATCTCGGCCCCCCTCACAAAATACGGACCCAATCCAAGGGAATAGAGAAAATTAATTGATCCAGATTTGTTCAATGTGGTGACAGTGCTTCAAGTTGGACCTTAATTGATGTGCCGTTTTCCATGTTCTTTCGTCACCATCTCATATGTCCCGGATTCTTGTTACGCCTCTCCTCACCCAACAGTTCCATGGGGGGATGATGGAACTAGAGTATACTATCCCACTTAGGTCAGTGACGCTCGTATTGCCGAAAAGCGGTTGTCTCACCACCTCTTCCCATCTCTCCAGCATCCCTTTGTTAGGCAGCGGGAGTTGGCTCCATGCACATAGGCCGTCCAAGGGTTTTTAGGATTCCTGAATCCTAAATTTTACTGTCCTCCTCATAACCTCCCCATTTTCGCCATTCAACATTCTGTTTTGGCAGGGACTGCCTACTCCTCTGATGACCTCATTGATTCGGCTTGGCGCCTAACACGAAATGCGCATAGGATCTCAGGTGGTGTGTCCTGGCACAGTGGGTCCCTACGAGAGAAGGTTAACAACAGTCGTATTTTTCATCACCACTTTAGGACACCCTTCACCACTTCAATATGCAGCCTGCCTAAACAGGTGGTTTTCAACGTCTTCAGGCCTTTCACCACTTCAGGCAGTATGAAAATCCTGAATGGTCATGAAGAGGTGAAAGGTCCGAAGACCATGAAAACCACCTTTCACCACTTCAAGATGCAGCCTGCCTAAACATGTGGTTTTCAGGGTCTTTGGACCTTTCACCACTTCACGACCATTCAAGATTTTCAGACTGCCCAAAACTCTCACTTCATAATTTTCATTCTTGAATTTTCAGCTACCCGATAACCGCTTGTGGGCGATAATGGCTATCCCAGTCCCTTCTCAATCTCTTTTTAGGCAAAATGGGACTTTAGCTGTATCTCCTAGCAAGTGTTATCCTTGCCTCTTCTCAATAATATTTCAATCTTACTAGGCCCCTCACCTCTGCGCTTCTCACACCGCCTCCTCGATTTCTGCCTGTTCGGCGGGATCCTCAAACAGTAGGGGCCACCCCTGCGAGGTAGTTCTCCCCCATCTTTATTTCCCTTAGGAGTGTCGGCTCGTATTTCGAATGGGCCAGTCATGACGTCCCAAACACGAGAATGTCGATGAGTTCTAGCAACTCCCAAACCCTATTTCCCAGAACGGACCATCATAGAAAATTCCAATTGTTTGGGGCTAAAAATGGTGTATCCATGCCACAGACGCGCTAGCCAGGTCCCTCGCTCTTGAAAGACTGCCAAAAATCAAGTCTATCATCAAATCGTGGTACCTGGCATAGTAACTGAGTTGTCGGGGTTTGAAATCCCCGCACTTCTCCCACTTCCACCCTCATCCGTAGTCCCATGTTTCTCCCCACTCGGATTTCCTGGCCTATCCTTGCCAATGCGCGAGCCGCCTGTCGAAAGATTGGCAATAGCCCATGCCCCTCGGCCATCTCGATCCCTAGCAAGTGCCACCCGATCTCAGGCAAGTACAAAGTCCCTGTTACCCTTAGGAAAGTATACCGATCCTCCACAGACCCTCGATAAAATCTCATGCCGCTCCATAAGCATTCCACCATCATTAGGGCATGATTTCTCCCCAAGATTACGACCCGCCATTTCACATTGATTCCTTTAACCTCGTAGCTCGCAGGGAGTGACACGTCCCACCCACTACCGTTCTCCATAGGCGGGTGAGGGTGTGTGGGTTGTTGTGGCATTCGGACACGCCTTATCGCCATTGCTGATCGGCAAGCCCCTTCATGGTCCAAAAAGAAAAGTGAATATATCTCAACTTCCTTTATGCTCCAAAGGCCATCTCGATCCCTAGCAAGTGCCACCCGATCTCTGGCAAGTACAAAGTGCCTGTTATCCTTAGTAAAGTATACCGATCCTCCCCAGGCCCTCGATTAAATCTCATGCCGCTCCATAAGCATTCCACCATCATTAGGGCATGGTTTCTCCCCACGGTTACAACCCGCCATTTCACATTGATTCCTTGAACCTCGTAGCTCGCAGGGAGCGACACGTCCCACCCACTACCGTTCCCCATAGGTGGGTGAGGGTGTGTGGGTTGTTGTGGCGTTCGGACACGCCTTATCGCCATTGCCGATCGGCAAGCCCCTTCATGGTCCAAAAAGAAAAGTGAATATATCCCGACTTCCTTTATGCCCCATAGGTCCGCTTGCTACCTTCCCTCCCTTTTGTCTCTTTATTTTTTTCTTGTCTTGCTTTTATCGTTGCTCTTGTTCCATTCCTTACTCACAAAACTTCTTCCTCTGGTAGTTTGAATAGCCGATGCACGTCGTCTATGTATGTCGATCCGGAACTTACCTCTCGCCCAATGACCCACCATAAGACCTCAACACTGATTCGCGGGATCCTTGGTCTTGTTGTTACAGTTGCGCACGCTATGCGCAATACTTCATACTCCTGCTCTTCCTCCAATGGCACCATCTCTAAGAAGGCCCGATAATACTCTCGATACAACAAGGCTTCCTCAAACCTCAATCTAGCTAATGTCGCTACTGCCTGTATGACGAGCTCCACAACTCCCATCCGTCACAGTAGGAAGGGTGATGACCTCATTCGTATGTTGTCCTTGGGCAGGGTAAAGTCCCTGCCATGGTGGTTCTCACTGCGGCCGTCACATCCTGTTCATGGTTCACAAAATCGAATCCCTCTCGCCACGTTATCTGCCAGGCCCCCTCGAACATATACAAAGGCTCGTTCCTGGACGCCAATGTGACCCCGAAGGTGCGCCATCCCTCCTCTTATAGGTACAACGATCCCTTCATGTAAACGCGCCCCAAAAGGTCCAGGTTCACGCCCCCAGACTCGCCCCTCGCACAAGATCCCGAGTGGTTCGTCTTCCCAAAGTGTTTGTCTTCGAGCCATCGTGCGATGCCTTCCCCATTGCTCTCTTGCAGTCAACCATTGCATCCACATAAATTTTGTGCTCCTTTGTTCTAGTCTTTCCTAATTTGTATTGTCGGTTTCCGTACAATACACATCCACTCCCCTTCCTTAATCTCATTTGGTACACGCTTTGATTCTCCATTCTTTCGTCACTCACATAGGTGCTCTACCTGCTTAAGCGCCGGCTCCTGCAGGTCAGAACCACCGCACTGAACAGCAGGAACACGTTGCCTACATACGAAGGGGTCGTCACCAATTCGAGGCGAAGTATCATCTTTTGTTTTGTCGTCCACATCAATTCGGTCGTCCCTGACGAGTCTCAAGATGTCGACGACCTCCTTGGCTCTATTATCGTAGAAAAAGCGTCGAACAACCACGAAAATTTCAGGTCTATCTTGTCTAGGGACTTCGCTACTCTCTAAATATGTTTGTATCCTTCGAACTACTCTAACACAAAGTTCGTATCCTTCCAACTACTCTTACCACCTCTAAAAGTGTTTGGAGTATGACCACCTTTACGACATCTCTCTCTCTCTCTCCCTCTCTCTCTCTCTCTCATACCAATCTATCAATAGATCTTATCAATCTCATCTCATTTTATCTCATCTTTCATTTCCATTTCTCCTCGTCTCATCTCCTCATCCCAGCTGATCCCCTCTCTCAATTCTCCTCATCTACTCTACTCTCATCTCACCTAATTGCATTGCATCCCATCGCATCCCATCCCATCGCATCCCATGCCATCCCATCCCATCTCATCCCCATCCCATCCCCATCCCCATCCCCATCCCCATCCCTTCCCTCCCTCCAGCCATCTACTCGCATGCGTGCGAATACATCTGTTGAGGCCTGTGCAGACACTGGAGATGGAGAGGAAGGAGAAGGGAACCGATGGAGGAAGGACTCCATCAGACGCTTGAGAGAGGTGTTGATAGAGGCTAGCCAGGTCTCTATGGCTGACATCCTGGCCTTCCATCTTCAGCATCTGTTCATCCCAGGCCAAGAGGTCTCCCTCTTGGACATATGTCCGTCCCGGGCCATGAAAACGTTCTGGTTAGGAACTGTTTTTAACCGTATCCACTCTGAGCTTCTCAAGGACTCCACAAAATCTGGCGTCCGCAGGGGCTTTGGAAAAACAGTCAATTAATTCCGCTCTTCACCAGGCTTCTCTTCCCGTCTTCTTTGCATGTCTCTCAATTCCTTTTGAGTGGCTTTTGCAGCCTGCTCTGTCACCTCAAGCTCAGCATCAAGCACATCCATCTTGGTCAGGGCCCACTTCCCTTCCCTGCTTTGCCCAGATTACTTGATTTTGTTTAGCTTGGAGAAAGAATGGATGTCTTCTCCAGTAACAATGATACAACTCCAAGGCAAAGGTAAACCAACAAACAGTTATGATACCCATTAGGACCCAAAAGTTTGAAAAACTGCAGAATTGTCCTAGTGTCGCATGAGAGACAAGAACCGACCTCTCAAAGGATGTACAAAAATAGCACAGCGGAAGACTGAAATACCAAGATCTGACTCGGCATGGACAATGACAGGACCTGACACGACCAATCACCACACAGTGTGAATAGACTAAGCGCAGCAAGCATGGAAGACGCACTGAGCCCAAATACAACCACGGACGAAATGAGGGAGAGGAGACAAACTGAGGAGGAAATAGGGAGGATCAGCAACCATAGCCCGATAAACCCAATCTCCAATGTATCCCCAATGTCGCTGCTCATACAATATCAAGTCGCAATGTCCCTGAACTGGGCAAAGCCCAAAAGTCACCAAGCCTCGATGTCAACTCTCTCTCTCTCTCTCTCTCTCTCTCTCTCTCTCTCTCTCTCTCTCTGTGTGTGTGTGTGTGTGTGTGTGCAGAAGAAGAAGACGAAGCTCCGTAAGGAAAGGAGAAGAGGCGACAGAGTACAGGATGAGAAAGAAGAATAAGAAGAAGGCATCCTCTCTCTCTCTCTCTCTCTCTCTCTCTCTCTCTCTCTCTCTCTCACACACACACACACACACACACACACACACACACACACACACACACNCACACACACACACACACACACACACACACACACACACACACACACACACACTCACTGTGCACCATGTACTAACCTGCAAAAGATGGTGCCTTGATGCAGGTGAGGACGTGCAGGTAAGTTGTTCGGTAGGTCCCCTGGCCTCCACTTCTCTCTCTCTCTACCCCAACCTCTACTGCAGCTCGACTGCAGGGCTCAAGCTCCTAACCATGCGCCCAGTGCTGTCGAATAACATACTAACAGTGCCCAGCGCGTCGACTAACCTCTGCCTACCATACGACCTGCCTCTACCTAGGCCACCAACTATAAATAGCGCTGGTCGACTGGGAGGCTGCCTCTACCAGTCTGAAACTGCACCAGTGTCTCAGGGGGAATTGAAGCCCAAAACAGACCTGGCACCCAACCGGAAAACTGGCGTCTAACGAAGTTGGCGCCCAAACAATACTGGGCCTGAACGGCCTGACCAGTAATCCAGGCCTAACTGGGCCTCTAACGCGGTGGTCCTAATCTGGACCGGTAACAGGCCTAGCCTGGCCTACTAACCCTGCGGCCCTAAAACAGCCGAAACAACACTGGTCCCTAGACTGGGCCCCCTGCTAATCCCTAGGACCCCCAAGTGGGCCCTGCGGGGCCCTTGTGGGAAATGTGAATGCCACACCAAGTTAGTGCTACAGCCCGCTGAGAAACTGCAAGAACATTACAACTTTTTTATTTTTATTTTTAAGAAACTACTCCTATTCTGGGGAGCCACAGTCCAGTTCCTTTTCAGCCGGCAAGTCAAAAATGAATACAACTCAAGAACACGCTTCCCTGCATTACGGCCCGGGGAACCCCGACAGCATTGATTGCTTCCATGCAGGAGGGATCGACTGTCAGTCGAGCCCATGCCGTTGTTCATTCCCTCCCCAAATCAAATGTAACCCCCCCAAGAATCATACTTGAAAGCAATCAGGCATCCTAACCATCTGCTTTCCTAACTCCCTAGAACCCCACCTCCTTCCTAAACCCCTAAACCCTCCTCCCCGCCTAAGTCGGTGGCCAAGGCCACACCCGAGGTCTGGGACAGATGTGACTCCCTCGAAGTAGCCGTTGACATTCCGTTCAGTTCCCCCTGGACCCACTCCAATGACCAACAGAACTTGGGAGTGTCACCGGTGCGGGATCCCAATTTCCCATTCCCCACCAACCCCACCGTGTCCTTCACGAATTTGTTAGGGACTTCCTGTTCCCTGGTGGGGTCTTTTTTTATCAACTTGAGGATTCGTAGCCAGTCCGAGTAGTATTCCGCATAGAGCATGTATGTAAGCCTCTGCCAGGCTTCAGCAACCGGCGTGATTTGAGAACCTATGGCCGCTTTGCATCTTCGTTTAAGAACACTGCAACTTGGTATATGATCGATGATCTGATCTATGATCAGCGATGATTGAAAAAAAGTGGCACATCAGGCAATCTATTTACACAACACCTCATAAAGCAATGGCAGGACTGTGGATTCCACTGTCAGAAAAAGGTTTACTGAGTATGGCGTAATAGTTCAAGGGGATAAAAGATGTGTCATTGTAAGAGAACATCCAAAGCAACAACAATTACTACCATTTCAGAGCCAGGAGATGGACAATACTGTGTGGATTCAACATGTGCATCACCATTTCACTCACCTTCAGGATCACCATTATCCAACTCTAAATCCTTTGTCGCCCTCCATATGTAGGATCTCCTGATATCAGCAGCATAGCCACGAGTTTGGGGGTCCTCTTCATCACTTTCTGATCCTGCCAGTGTCGAATCATCCTCCTCCTTGCATTTCTCCAGGGTTGATGCTGCTGCCTTACAAGTTGTCCACCCAAATCACGCACCCAATAGTCATCAATCTTGTAACTTCAAGACCAATAGCACTCTTCTGTCAAATGTTCCACCATCATTGCCCGTCTGTTTCCATGCCGGTGCTACACTAAACCGCATTGCCCCACACTCCGCAAGAGTTCATCCCTTGGCATCTATTCGCCGATCGGTTGCCCATTCACCAATCCCTCCAGTCTCTAGAGTAGGCATTTCATGATTTTTGCCAATCGGTTTCCCATTCACCAATTCCTCCAGTCTCTACAGTTGGCATTTCATGATTTGTCCAGACAATATAAAAAATAAAAACAGGGCGAGCTGCCTAGCTCAGTTGGTGGAGCAGGAAGTTGCATTCAGGAGGTCATCGGTTCGATTCCCTGCGCCTTCCCTTCGAATTCCTGCGGTCTTTTAAGGCATGCTTCCGATCTCACCAGCTGAGATAGTCAGCTCGCCCCCCTGGTTGGATGGACAGGGGCCTCCTTCCCTTAAGTGGCCTTGGTAAGGGAAATTGGGGCTGTCTCCTCCTCCCCCCCCCCCCCCCCCTTCCAATGCCAGCTGTTAGGCTCAACCCTGAGGGGGTAGGATCAACCCATAACTCTTAGGGCAGCTTAGCCTCAGCTAATAGATTAGGGTGTAGATGTAGCTGCTTAATGTAGCCATAGACCCTACCCTTAGATTCTACTCTTAGATCCTAGATCCCTTTGGTGTGTGGATGGACTCTTGTTTGTCCGAGGTAGGTAATGCAAGGTAAAAATACGGCTGATCCCTTGCTTGCCCGGTGTAGATAGTGCGAGGTACAACATTGAGCTAAGATCATAGCATAGAAAACAAAATGCATGTCCCCCATATGAGGAGAAGGCAAGCCTGCATTTTTTTTATCTTTAAAAAAACTTGAAAACTCTTTTAAGATGGAAAAAAAAAAAACAGAAAAATTTCTCTAAAAAATTACAATGACATTGGCTTCACAATTGTGCTTTTGGATGAATTCTTGGACGGTTCATTTGTCAGATATGAAATGTCCTAAAACGTAGTCAACAAAGCTAAAAGAAACTTGCAAGAATTGAATACAGGGGCAGAACAGAGGACAGATCCCACGAAACAAATTTTAAAGGCCCAGGGTGATACTGGGTTTAAACTTTCAACATACAAAGTCCTCTTCAGTGCTGTCATTTGCCACATGAGAAAAACACCCAACCCCTCTCCAGAAACGTCATTTGCCAAATGAGAAAAACACCCAATAAAAACAAGCTGAAAGGCATCCTCCTGAAAAGGCATTAAAATTGGAATGGTACAAAGAAAACTAGTCCACAACTTGAGATCGGCAACCCTGATTGCACACAAAGAAATTCCTATTGGAAGTCATGAGATCCGTCCTTGCCAGACAGGTGTGACTGGAGGTTGATGAGCCTGGAACTTTCGGGGGTCCCACTGTCCACACCATGAATAAACTGATTTTATCCCCTGGCGCACCAGCGGACCACACAAGTTTTCTTTCATCCACACAGAGGTAGCACGCCACCAGCAGTGAACTTAACAAGAATGTGTTGCATCCCAACTAATTTAATTGTGCACGATGCGTTACACGATTCAATCCCAACCGATTTAATTGTGCACGGTGGTACAAAGACGGATTCTCAGGACGACTGCAGAGCAGATTGTCCTCTAATCTGCTTTTTGCTGACATATGCAGACACACCAGCGCTCTACAGCCAACCTGGCACCCATGAGCTCTCTCTCTCTCTCTCTCTCTCTCTCTCTCTCTCACACACACACACACACACACACACACACACACACACACACACACACACACACACACACTTTCCGGATCAATTTTGCTGTGCTGTGCACAGTATACTGAAATGTCCCCTTACCTTTGCTGCACACCAACATCCTAGCTCTTCGAGAACATACAGCAAGGACCGGACAGTCCACCCAGCTTTCGCAGCCGCTTTTGCAGCTTTCGCTTTATCCCTCGCCACCATGAATTTGTGACACATTTCCTCCTCGTCTGCTGCCATATCCTTACAGTGTTCATCACTATTGTTTGACTGCATTCCTGGAAACCCCTCAGAAGAAGAGCCGTTCTTTTCACAATATTCTTGCACTTCGTTCAGAAGACGAACTATGTTTTCCTTCCACTCCCTTCCCAACTCCTTCAACTCACCCGCTTCATAGAAAACAAATGATTCAACAGGCTTTGCAACAAATTTATCCAATTCAGTACGATCCATCACAGTGTAAATTGACGAGTCCAGTGTCTTCTCAAGCTCTTGCATCTGCTTTGCGCAGCGTTCTCGCGACGGCGCACCTGTATCATTCGACACCGAGAAAAATGCTTTTTTCTCAGATGGACATAAAACAAAGAAAAGAAAAGGGGATACAACTTACACCCAAATAAATCATGGCTACCATCAGGCACCCACACCGGTGCCTGGATGCTCCGCAGTGTATGAACAGGAATCAAAGATGTCTGGAGGTGTACGATTAAATTTTGAATATTTAAACCACCACTACCTCCAAACCTGGGGTCCATTGTGTTTCTTTTCTGGTACTCTTCTGAAAGCAGACTTTCAAAAAACAACGTACTCGCAACCAAAAAAAGAAAAAAAGAAAAAAACGAACAGCCCTCTGGACGTGATACAAGGTAGATAGTTGTTGTGCCAGTATGCCCTCAGTGAGGGCATTACGGCAGGGGTGTCAGGTCACGAAAAAAAGAGAAGGAAAATAAAAATTGAAACAGAGACTTAGGGGGGGAAAGCGGGTTCATACATTCTGCAAACTTGTAGTCTGGGCATGCCCTCCTTACAAAGTGTCGGCAGCCTGTGGACTGCGCCGTGCCTCCCTGGCGTAACAGCAGCCACGACGACCCTCCTTACAAAGTGTTGGCAGCCCGTGGACTGCGCCGTGCCTCCCTGGTGTAACAGCAGCCACGACAACCTGAAACTGGCCACAATTCTAGTTAGATACTTTCTTGTGAGTATTGGTGTGAGCACAACTTCCTGCACGGCTTTCCTGGACTTGATCTTTTGTTTTTTTTTTTGCTTTTTGAAGGGCCCACAAGGCCCAACTGCCGAGCGTCCGCCGACCCCCGAAAAGTTCAGAAAAAGTGGGAAAACAGCCACTTTTCCCATTTTTCCCAACACTGGTCGAGGTAGTGGCGGCTTAACAGCAGGGCTGGTCCCCGGATGGACAAGAGACCCCTACCCCATCCGCGGTCCTCCCGGTTGGACCGGCCGGTGGCCCGGGCCGGTTCCCTTCCGGTTGCCCCCAGCGCATTCCCGCTGGGGCCTGAATTATTTTTTTGCCAGCGCGTATGTGTTCCCGAGGCCTCAAGGGGGTGGGCCCTGCCCCCCAATTTCAAAACCGGGTCCTGTAGGCCAGGATTTTTCAAGTCCAAAAAGTGGCCAATCTTGGCCGCCGATTGTCGCAGATCAGCGGCAAAGATCGGCCAGGACCCCATTCTTAAGAAAAACGGGCAGAGGATATCCGCCGCTGATCTTTGATGTGGGTTGGAAAGGCACCTTCTCCAATTTGTCATCTCGTGGTCCAACGGACTAGTTACCATTGGCAACATGTGATGCTCTTTCACCCTCAGCCTCGAGGGGAACACTATGCTTGTGATGAGGCTCTGATGAGATTATATCCTTCTGCAACGTCCGTGCCATCTGTGGAAAGAGTTATGGGTTCGGATTTTGGAATCGTGATGTCAGAGCCGTCCGCCCTAAGCTATATTCTTCTCTCTGGAACCATAACTCTTCTGCTGTCGAGTTATACTCTGGAAGAGCTATAACTTCTGGCAAGGACCTGCTCTCATCATATCTGGTTCAGCTCGTGGGGTATCAATTCAAATGAAACACTCCACGAAGTGCTCCAGCCACGGGGGGGTCGGATAAGTGAACTGGCTTACTTGACCCCTCCCCGTGGAAGCCATAGTTCCCTGAATATGTCAATGATAACCCCCTGCCCCCCTCTGGAAGCCCCCTGAAAAGTATTGCACCTTGAAAATTTTATTGTGGTTTCCGACAGCTCTTGAAGAGCGCAGTCGGAATCTGTCGAGAAAAAAAAAAAAAAAAAAAAAGCAAAGA